GAACATTGTCACATCCGTGATGTTCACCGTATAAAGTTAACAAACACAAACAGCTAGTGCAGCACTGTTCCCTCTGTTTTAAATGTAAGAAATACTAGCCAAAGCAAGGAAATTTCTATCAGTTACGATCATTAAATGTTAGAATTCTTTGGCAGCAGAAGCTACTGCTTCAGAAGTTCTTTGGCTGTCAGTGGAGGGTAAGATTTGTTAAACCAGATGTTTCTTCTGTTTATGGGAAAAGAAAATTTGCTTAGCTTTGTTGTATTTCTTCATGTGGTCGCAAGGGCTGAAAATGCCTTTCTGGAGAGGAAAACGTGTTACAGAGTGTTGAGACTGAGGCAAAACAATGTTTTTCTGTGTTGTGTGTGGGGAAAGGAGTAAGTGCTTGTATTTGCCAGCTGTGCATGTCTAGCTGTGGTAGAAGCAAGTCATAAAATCATATTAATCCTGTTTCATGTCAGCAAGACTTTTAAAACAATTAAATGGGGCTGCACAATATACAAACATGCTGGAAGTCTCTTGGTGGTGCAGAACATGTTTGTACTGGTCACTGTGGGTGCCCAAGAGCAGATTTTCTAATACAGCACCAGCTTCTTGCAGATCTGCATTCACACTGTAAATGTGTCCTAAAATATTTGCCTCATCATAACCTAGAGGCACAGGGAGGCTGAAGAGGGGCACCCGAGGTGTGCCTTGTAGGTCACTTCACTTTCAGGAGCCAGAGTGTTGTCCTTGTTACTCTTTTGCATATCGAAGTAAAAGGGTGAAGGGCAAGGTATTTTAGGAGAAATTTAAATTATCTGTGAGAGTCTCTTGTTTCTTAGCTTCTGCTTAAACAAATTTTTAGTGATGCACTTGGAATTTTACCTCAGCAAGAGCTGATGGACTGTAGTACTCTGGGATTTCTCAAGATTACCACTTTATTTTTCACAACACATACCATGGCTAAAGAAGGAGGGAGTCTAAAGGGCTCCGTTTGCTAGTGTGAAGCCTGCCTCCTTTCTCATTTGGGGTCACAGAACTTTCCTCCAGCACTTGCAGGAACTACTCACAAGGAAAAGTGATACTAGGACACGTCTGCATTATTTTTAGCTTTCGGTCATCTCCTTCTGTCTTTTTTTCTCTCTACTGAAAAAATAAAAAGCACTACCAAACATGGACCTTTTCCTGAGCTCAGCAAGTCCCAAGAGGCTTGGATCTGGCCTCAAGAACTTCTCTGTGTTTCACAGAGAGCCGTCACAGGCTCTGGAGGTTGTCTATTACCGTGCTTCAGAGGTTGGGAAGCTGTAGCAGACCAGAAGATTTGAGAGTGTGTCTTTACTGGAGAGTATTTTAAAGGAAGCAGCAATGCTTCTGTAACTGGTTGAGTGCAGGCGCTCCCATTAGTGACAATGACACTGGCTCTGGTGACAAGCAAGGAAAGTGAAGGGAGGTTTGAATCTGGTTCAGGAAGCCTTCAGTTTTCTGAGAGATTCAGCTAGGCCTGACGTCGCAGCTCACGTCCCATTTCTTCATGTCTAGATAGGACGGAAAAATGTAGTAAAAGCATGTTCATCCTGTTTTGTATCAGCAGGACTTGTGAAGTAATTAGGCTGGACTGCACAATGTGCAAACATGACACTATAAACTAAAAATATTAAATTAGTTCAGACTGAGCTCTCACGTCAAGGGCATAAAAAAGCACCAAAGTTATTTGTTCCTTTTCGTACCAAGGACTTCCAAGTCCATAGGATGTCAAGTGACGAGATGAATGTTGTCTTTCTGTCAGCTAAACTATGTTTTCAGTGGCAGTTGAGAAGACAGAGGGGTTTTTTTACCTCCTGATGACTAAATTCAATGTTTGCTTACAGTGGCAAAACTCCCAATGTAATGATATTGTAACCACTAAAATCACTCTGGATTTCTTTTGTGATAAGTGGCAAGCAGGATGAGTGCACCTCCCCATCCCAGGCCTCGGGACACTATGAACCCCAGCCGGCACGGTGGCTGGCGCCCTCCTTTGTCCTCCCCTGCTCCAAGTGGTCTTAGCCTTGTCCTCACTACTGGGGACAAGATACTGCATTAGAAAATGGGGAATCCAAACTGCAGCAAATAGCTTTTTTTTTTTTTTTCTTTTCAGAAAAACAGACAATGTCAGGAGACTTTTCTCATTGTTTTTAAGTCTCTGTAATACCTGGTTTGGACCTGAAAACATCTCTTCAGCTGGATGGCAGGGTAAATGTAATGACCTTGACTGGTCAGAGCACTGAGAGAAGAAGACTTGCGTGTTCCACTTGCTTGGCACAGAGAGCTGAATCATGCTGTGCTCCTGGTGTAGCTTCCCTTCCTCTCCCACCGTTCCTTCTGACTCCTTGAAATGTCTGTATTCAAGTAAAATCGCTTTCCTAATATCCTTCCCTGTGTACATCCATGTGTAATCACGTCTTCCTTTGGGAGCAGACATCTACCTGCTCACCATCTCCTCTGGCACCTGAGGACCTGTGTTGAGGGTGAGAAGGTGCAGCGCACGTGTGGGCAGAGCAGCAGAATGGTGCTGCCAGGCTGCTGGAGGACAAGGAGATGGCTTGGGGATGGTAGGGCTATACAGGAGGCATTCTGCTCAGTTGTATGGTGAAGTTTTTAATGGTGCATTTATTCATTTGTGTTGTGCACCCCTCTAAAAAAAATCCTGAAGGGTTTTGCAAGTAAATCCCTTGTTTTTGTGAAAATAGGAGCTGGATGAGAGGTTGGGGCTGCGCCGTGCTGGACACAGCCAGTCCCAGCTGGCTCCAGTGGCCTTTTGGTCTTCATCTCCTGGAGGAGAATCGCTGTAGGGGAAGCTGCGGATGCATCCCCCTCAAACCTCTGACTGAACTGGGATCAGGAAATCTGGGATTAGGAAAATGATGTCAAAATTTCAAGTAGAAATTAGAGGAGCGCTACCAGTGGCCCTGTGACTGAGTGACTGAGGGGTGAGCACTTGACAGTAGTCTGGCGTGGGGTACAGCTGCTTCACATAATGGATGGATCCTTTAGGAGCAAATAATGTTTTAAAAATTTTATTTTATTTTAAATTTCACTTCTGGGACTGGATGTGTCATTACTCTCTTTGTATAATGCCAAGCTCTGTCAGTGCAGGTTTGGCCGTGCTGGGGATGGTTTGCCTAAATTGGGATTCACAACAATAGTGTAACTGTCTCACTACAATTTCACTCATGTAACTTTGGCCCAAAATGGGTCATTTAACAGCAACATATTTTTAAGTTTGAACAGGCTGGTGTTTACAGGAGCCCATCAGCTCCACCCTGGTCTGTTCAAAGCATAGACTGTTAAACTATTCATACTGATTTGTGGCAGATCTAGAAACCCTAGAGAAATGTTTAAAGACTGGGAAAAAAAAAAACCCACATGCTTTGCAAATGTGTACGTATCTAGGTCGCTTGGCCCAGTTACTATCCTGGACAAAATCATGAAAGGACCGTAAGCATTAAAGGAGAGCGTGTAATAAATGCCAGGCAGTGAAACAGTATGAAAAATACATCTTGACAAGGAGATGTCGTTGGTCCTTGGCGGGATCACAGCTTTGGCTGGTAAAGGTTACTGAGCTCTTGTCATAAAATTCTCACAGTCGCATATAATATTCTGATTAAACGTGTCTCCATCTAGAAATTAGTGGCAGCTTCAATAAATATATTGAAACCTGCTTAGCAGAGAAGGCCAAAAGTGCAATTATAACTAATTAGCTGCGATCCAATAGGGATGTTTCTACTGGAATTTGCTTGTGGTCCAGCACTGCTCAGTACTCCTTTTCCCATTTAACTAGTCTGTAAGAAACAAAATGATGATGACAAAAACGCAAGTCCAACAAAGCCCATTTTTTTTGTAACGGTGTTTAAATTCCACCTGTGTATTTCTGATCTAAACCTAATCTGTGTCTCCACCTGCCAGCTGTGCGTGTTGTTTAATCCCTGCTAGCTAGGCTGCAGCGCGCCCTTGCCCAGCTTTTGAACTCCCTGTGGGCAAAGAGCAGCTTGTTTTCTAAGTTAAGCTTGAATATACAATATTTAATATACTGAGCAATGAGTCACAGCTGAGTGGGACTTCAGTTACTGTTTCCTGGCAGAAATTGGAACTTCACTGCATAAATGTTCTTTTTTTTTTTGCCTGAAAACCAAACAGCAGTAGTGGTGAGGAGCTGCGGCTTCCCAGGAGCAGAGCAGCACTTGGTTTGACTCCAGGCTTGGTGAG